ATCTCTTACGACAACCTAAAACATAATATTCTTACACCGGTACCATAGAGTTCGTCCTCCTTACATACTGTACTTGTTTTGTTTGTTTATATACCAGTAGTTGGCACTGGGGTATAAATAATCAAAGCGTGTAAGTTAACTACCGCGGGGCATTAGCGAATCCGCGAAGAGTCACTTGCAGAAAAAAAAAAGTAATTACTCAATAATAATAATAGTCTAACTACTAATAGTCTCTATCTATTCAAATTCACTTGGATCGAACAGGGAACTTTGCAGTCTGTTGACTCGCCACTGTTCTTCCGGTCGGTTTACACCACTAACGTTCTAATCGTTTTACTAAAATATAATTAATATAAATAAGGCATTACACCTCTGATAATGGAAAAAGACCTTACACTTAGGTGATAGAAAGTAAATATTTTCTTCTCGTTAGTCTGTATCTGGCATTGTATCAACTAGAATTTCTCTTTATTTCAAAACTTTAACCTGGATTTGTTAATAGATGATCAACACTTTTCCTAATTTAAAAAATAATATTAGATACCACTGACTATATTATTCTTCTTCTATATAAGGTTCTTGAGTGGCAACCCAGTGGCAAATACAGTGTAGGATGACCCCCCTACTAGATAGAGTGACGACATCAAATACATTGCAGGGACTTAGTGGATGTAGGTAGCTCAGGACCGTTTTTTATGGGAGTCTATGGAGGAGACCTATGTTCAGCAGTAAACGGATAATGACTGAGATGATGGTGATGAATATATTATACAACGCCATCTAGTCCCAAAATAAGTGGAACTTATATGCTAGACAACTGATAGAAATACTTTTTTTAATACATATGTACATATTATACATAGAGAACACCTAGTATAAATAGTTCTACTCATAAATACAAGTCTTTATATCAAGCGGGGAACTAATCCGCGAGTATCGAAAAATATAGCTATGTGTTATGCCACTAAACCACCAAAGTCGGAAAATTAGTGCGCTTGAGCATTAATATAGGTACAACACACCTATAGATCTTCGTACAATGTTTATGCACGGCTGGTAACAATGGTTATATATTTCCACATGTCGATCAATTAACTTTCAATTTTATACAGTATGCAAATCCAATGACCGCGGTAATATGGTAATTAACATTGACCTAATACTGTTGCCAGGACTCATTGCATACTACTAATTTGCAACTTACACTTTTGTAATCGTAATTTGATAAAATGAGTAAATAAATTACGTATGATGATCAGGATCTAATGATAGAAGCATGAAGATAGCAATAAATTGAATCTTCAATTTAGGCTAATGCGATAAATCTTGATGAACCTGTATGTAAATAGTAACCCTGCTTGTACTATTGGTTTACGCTGAAAGGGTCCTTAAGATAGATGACAAGTCAGAGTTCAGTTGACTCATTATGAGAAATTAATCAAGAAATAACCATAATAATTTACTGAAAAAAAAAAAACTCTTATAGAGTACGTTTGTATTTTTCTATCACTACGAATGAATATGTCCCTAGTGCAATAAAGTATGTACATAGATATATAAATAAAATAGTTCCGAGGATGATCTTAGAAAATGATAACGCAGATGAATGGCCATAAGACCTTTATTTCATGATCTTTTTTAGACTAATATAACGTAATATTAATTCCTAAATCTCTTTTTTATTTTTTTGCAAGGCCGAATAGAAAAGTACCCGGCCTGACAAAGACCCATTCAATTTTTAAAATCCAACTATCCACATTAAATCTGTCCACATCAAATCATGAAGTAACGTGTGGTATATATAAATGTGATTTTATAAATTTATTTAGGTATCAAGCAATCCACCCTTATTGCCGTAAATAGAACAATTTTACCTCTATAAGAAGAGATTAACACCAAAGGTCGTCTATTATGGTATGGTCAGCACATTAAAGGATTCCGCTTTCTTATATTCATCTGTCAAATAATTGCAGAATTCAAGCGTAATAGAGAGCGTGTAAAAGAAACATCCCGCTCTAGAAGACCTTCGAGGGCCACTACTGATAAAAATATTAAAAAGGTACGGTTAGATTTAATCTGGTAATGACTGGAAATTAAAATTAGAATGATAGATTATATGCATTTCTTACAAACAAACTCAAAACATCATAATCAACAAACTAAATTTCAATAAGATATGAGCGAGGTTGCCCACGGCTGCTTTCAATCAAATAAGAAAGAACGCGATTAACTATTTCATACGACTGTTTGGAGTTATTTGAAGTCGATCCAAGTTATTTTTTGAATCGCTTTGTTACTATGGACGAAACATTAGTACACCGGAAACACAACTAGAGACAAAACAGTAGAGATAACCCGGTTCACTACCCTATGAAAATGCTAAGTCGATTTTGTCGGCAAATAAGGTGATGGCTTTAGTATTCTGTGATTCGAAGGATGTGATTATGATTTATTATCTTGAAAAAGGTCAGACCATAAACTCTAATTACTATTACACCTTACTACGTCTTTTACGTGAGGAAATAAAATAGAAGTAGTACTAGATACGCGCAGATGAAAGGCCCTGTTTCATTTTGTTAATGCCTATCTTCACAAATCTATACAATCAAAGACAAATTCACAACTGTGACTTTAAACTATTATCACAACCGCTTTATTCACGTAATATGGCACCATACGACATTATTCTGTTCCCTAAAAAAAAAGACTTGAGAGGTCAACAATTTTCGATAAACAAGGAGAACAGCAGTAGGCATATTTTTACTTTAAAGAAAAATTTAGAAAGAAAAATTAAAGATTTCATCAACAGTCTCAATGCTTTTGAAGTGTTGGTAACAGAAATGCATTGAATTTCATTCCATTTCAATCAGGTAATTACACAGAAAAATTATAATGAAAATTATATGTGTTGATAACTTGATTAGGCAAAGTATTTTTCAAGCCATCCTTGTAGTATGTTTTTATAGTTTATTTCACATTTCATATGTTGTAATTTATGGATCCATTCATAAAAAAAATCCCCTACTTTTTTAATGGTACTTATACCATTAATAGATACCAATAGATTAGAAGAAAAAAAAAAATATTTATAAGCAAGTAAAATACAAGTAATAGGTCATATATGTTTTAAACTGTGTCCTTGTTTTATAATTATAATATACATATATTTTCCTGACTTACAAGGCTATATAAACTGCATGTAACAACTTAGATCATGTTGTCTCTAAATATCAGCTGAAATTGTAGTCAAACATGTTCAAAATTCATAAACATGAACAAAATATGTAACTGAAATATCATTTGCAATGTTTTTTTTTTTTACCATTGATAAAGAAACATTTGTATTGACATTAGTAAAAAAAAACTAAAAAAAAACATTTAGAAAGTATAATTTTCAACTTCATAGCTTATATATATAAAAGCTTTATAGTAATATTTAATTATTATACTTTATTGCAAGTTTTTAGCTTTTATTAATAAATAAGTACATTTATTAAATTCACATTCAGGAAACTAGGTATGTAAATGTTCAATATAAAGTTTCAGACTATGCATGTATAGTTCATACATTGTCTGTGTTTAACTTGTGTTTCATTGCCTAGCCTTTATATATAGGTCTTCAGTAAAAACTTCAATACTATGTAATTATGAACTTTATTACAATTTAGAACTTTATAGTTCATTATGTTATATAGTTAATTATGGATCCATAATAGTACCATTCTCACTTATAAAAGTGTGATCCATAACATAAATTATATTTGCACTAACTTTTACCTGCAACTTCATTCACATAACTGGGATATGTTAACTGACTAGGATAAGAAGTAGCCTATATCACATTCTCCCTCTCTTATTGTATGCATATACTAAAACTTGTTGTTGTAAATCATTGAATATATAAAGTGATTATTAGAAAGAAAAGATATATTCAGAGATAATTGTTTATTTTTATTAGAACAATGAAGGACAAGACAAAAGGAAATGTTAAACAGTAATTTTAAAATTTATTTCAAAGTCTATATATCAAAATATTTCCAGCCATTATCAACATTTGTAGTGATTGGTTAAGCCATTAAGACACTGTAAGTTAATAAACAAACTCACTTTCACATTTATAATATTAGTAAGGATTATAAGAAAATATGTAAACCTCCTCAATTAGGGGAAACCTATGTTCAGTAACATTGACAGTTAACAGCTGATATGACATAAACTTTAGAAGTATGATTCTATGGTCCAATTTACCAAATCAATGTTTATCAAGTAAACTAGCTAGCTTATAATAAAAATAAAAATTGTTTACATACACAATTACACAGCCTTTTACCACTATTAGGTAATATTTTTAAATGTAAATATAGTTTAGTCAACACTTGTTGTATTTTATCATTAAAGGAAAAAAGAATAATGATTTATTTAAAAAAAAAAGTTAATTGATCCTATAATTTTCATTGAATAATTTTTATAGTGAACTTTAAAGTATCTACTTAAGTGTCTTTTATTTTATGGTTAAAGTACAATACATCAGATTTTTTTTCTATATTATAAATAGTAAATTAGTAATCAATAAGTAAGTACTTACCAATTTGGCTGTCCCCATTGCTGTGCAGGCTACAGAAATCAGAAGTCTTCATAACTTATAATAACTTAGAGTCCATAGTCTCACAATAATAACTTTAAACATTATAATATTAAACATCCTACATTAATGATACATTGACAATACTAATAAATAATAAAAAAATTATAACTAAATATTAACAAATAAAACATATTGACATTAAAAGCTTACTAATACTGGCCGAATAACAATAAGTACTTGTCTTGACAAAACCTCTGAAAAAATTATATAAACAATGTACGTTCGTAACCTTACATTGAAATAAAGAAATAAAAATACAATTTAAATTTAGCTAACATCGTGTAATAGAAATCCCAATCTTTTTGACGAGAATATCTTATTTTGTTTTACTGAATGATTTTAAAATTTTACCTACATTGCGTAAAATTCACATTTCACTTTTCAAAACAGTTCCTTCACTAAAATTGATTCAAAGTCTTTTAATTTGTGTGCATGTCTTTTTCAATAAAATTCCGAATTGACAACTACATCAAATTGTCTCCGACTGCATTTTGTTCAATCCTACGCCATATTTGCAAAGTGACAAAATGAGCATTAGTGTTGCCAATGTAAAGCAGAGAATCCACTAAAATTGTCAAATTAAAATCAACTTTAGTGTGGCAATGAGGCAATTATTTGTCTGTTTTAGAAAACAATTTAACTGTTTTCAATAATATTATTTAAAAAATACTTTACTGGTTATTTAAAAAGTACTCAGGTGACAAATTAAAACGTTATTCGTGCAATATTATTATTATTAAGCAGTCCGTAAAGTTTGAATTTAGGTATATATTTTGAAGGTAAAAGTACTTTAACAATTCTAATGTGAAATATCAAATAAATATAAAGTTTTTTAGTTATAAAGCTATGTGTCACGTATTCTATAATTAATGTTTTAGTTAACAGACCACTTTTTAAATAATCTATCAGTCGACAATGAATTGAATTCTGCTCTGTATACAATACCTTCTGCGCAAAGACTATGTGTCATTTAACAAAAATCCTGCAAGGAAAAATTAAGACGTAAATAAAATGTTCTTTTTTGTCTTATGATAAATAAACAAGAGTTCAGCTCAAGAAACCAATATTAATATATTATTATAGCTGAACTCTTATTAGAATCTGAATGTAATAGACAATTTAAAATTCAATAATTTATTTATTTACTAAATGACTTAAATCAACATACGCGCCAATTATTTTATATTGCGAATGGTTACACATGCTTTTAAATAAACTACTGTTTTTATGTTACATATCATAACTATATGTTGCCCGCGATTTCGTCCACGTTTCCGTCGTTTTTCGGAAAATAAGTAGCCTATGTCCTTCCTTACGGCTCAGTGGTTTTGATGTAACAGACACATTTCCCTTCACTGCTCTGGTCCTATTGATCGTGGCGTGATGAAAAGTACTATAACCTACCCAGAAGTATGAAGAATAATTGTATCAAGTTTCGTTAGTAGTTTTTGTTTCTATAAGTAAGATATAGACAGACAAACAAAAATTTTACTGATTGTATTTTTGGCATCAGTGTCGATCACTAATCACCCCCTGATAGTTAATCTAGAAATATATTTCATGTACAGAATTGACCTCTCTACAGATTTATTGTACGTATAGATTACAGGGAACAGATAAAGGAAACATTAGGTGTCATCTCATATAGAGAATTCAAAAGTTAAAAAGTAGACAAGGTCGATTCTATATATTTGTATTGCTAAACTTCAAAATTATGAAGTAGATAATTTACATAATAAAATATCAGTTATTTGTCTTAGATTAAACAGAACTATTATTTAAAAAATCCTATATATCTGTATTTACGTCAAGTTCCTTTAAAGGTAAACAAAAAGAACCAATTGTCAAAGATCTAAATTCTTATATTATGTCGCTTTATTATATAAAAAATATTTTTCATGATATCCATTCATACTAATCTTTCACGTGATTTTCATTATTTTTTATAAATATATAATTTAAAATAAAATAATATTTGCGGCGATTACTAGTATTTTTGTAAATATATGCTAAAACATCAATTATATTGCATAAATTTTATTTCAAGGAATATGTTTATTTATAATGCGCAATATATACATCGAAATAATTATTATCGAGAGTGAATATGTATTTATTATGTTTATTTTGTTTTCGTGTTAATGGATGAAATCTTTTCTTATTTAAATCTCCTCTCTATTGATATTTCATGATATATTATAACGATATACCTGGCTTTTTTTATATGCTATAACAAGTAAAGTCAATTCAAATGATTGCCAACCATCGATTGTAAAATATGGACTTGTTAAAGTGCTCATCACTAGCAAAACCTGTCATTGATAAAAAAATTGAAAACTTTTTTGTCGCACACTGTTTAATTTTACTATTTATTTTATTATTAATGGTACTTATTAATTTTGAATATCCGTTATCGTGATATTATGGGTAAGAATAACAGTAAATTGTTATGATTATTGTACAGACAAGTGTAGAAAGTGCGTTATAAGTTACTTTTCGATTGTTATTTACAGAATGTGTGGTAGACGACCGTGATGCTTTGAAGGATTTTTTGGAAGAAGCTGAGCTTCAACAATATTATGAGTTGTTCAGGTACTTTCCTAATTTTTTTACAATAATAATTTAACTGATTAATTTATTATAAACTGTGTAACAATTTATACAGCTTACATGTAGCATAATTTATATGCTAATTATGTTAATAAAATTTATTATCACTTGTGTTGACATCCTAATTTCGTTTTATAAGAAAAATGCGAGCGTTAAACAATATTAAAACAAGTAGTATTCCAATATCCAAAGCTTTTGCGACTTGCTACAAGATAATTCTTAGCATTGTTATTGTTTATATTTAATAGTAATATATAAATAAATATTGTGGCTATTAATGTTGTTTCGCAAAAACACTGCTATGCGAATTTATACTTTTTTTTTCTGTGCATTGTAAGATGGTGCAGGAGGCAGTTTATATTTTGTTAATATATTATAAACAAACTATATTCAGTAAGATTTTTGGAGTTATAGTCATAACTGAGAGTATCTTATAATTATTTGATAAATCTATAATTTATGAATAAGTAATATTTAGTAAGTATATATTTGATGACTTGTCATTTGCACTATAATTTCATTTTATGGAATATGCAATGACAATGAAACTGATGAACCACCTGATAGAAAGTGGTAATAATAGATGAACAGTACTAAAAATATTGTTTTTTAATGTTATTATCTTTATACACCTAAGTGGTAGTGCTGTGCTGATTTTATATATTTTTTTCTTAAGATGTAGCAATGTTTAATTTCTGTTATAGACTAATGCAATGCTAATGCAAATCCTACCAGATCTGATAATATCATTTTGCTAAATGCAATAATATATATTGCCATGTGGTCCCAGCATTTAATAGCTCCTCACCCCATTCCTTTCCCATGGGTGTCATAAGAGGCGACTAAGGGAACTTATTGGTCGAGAAATGGTCAGCAGTATTTCTTTTTAAATTTATCCCAAGTCTAATTGCGCTTGCAAATCTGCTCCCAATGCATAGCAACTACTAGCAGAACCCCTTTAAAAGTAGGGCCTATGTTTAGCAGTGAACAATTAACACTGATATGATGAAGATGATGAATAATATATATATTATATATTTAGTGCTTAGTAGGTATGAATTGTGAAATGTTTGTGTCATTTACTAATTACTTCTCTTTACCCACTACTTCATCTATGTGATTGGCATATGATCATTGAATGAGGTAAAAGTAAGCAGTGTTTTTCTCCATTTTATATGTATATACTAAATTTCATCATGATTGGTTAAGTAATTAAGAAATGATAAACTCACTTTTACTTTTATAATATTAGTAAGAATTCTCCTTTACTTTGTCTTTTGGAGGGTTAAGCTGTTATTGGCAAGCCTAGCTACACCAGAGCTTAACAACTCTCGGTATCAGGGGGTGTGGCCTCGCATGAATAATAACAGGAGTAGGTTTGAAATTTTTTATAAAAATCCATTTTTATGCAATGCAAAGAATGTTGACTTCCATGTGATTGTGTTCATGTAGTATGCTATATGTTTATTTAGGCTATAATTATATAACCTGTAATGAAATGTTTTTAATATTTTATATTATTATTATGCATTTCGTGCAGCTATGTAATTAATAATAGACTTAAACAAGTTTATCAATGAAACTAAAATATTTAATTTTAAAGTTATGAAAAACAACAAATTGTTCCAGGGACATATTAAAAGTAACAAAACTAACACAGTTGAAGTTTGTGGTGACTGAAGATTTAAGTCAAATAGGTTTATCGAAACCTGAGCAACGACGATACAAAAAAGTGTATTCAAAGTATTTTCCTAATCCTTATATATCTAAAATAAGGAAATTATTAAGTGCAAAGAAAAATAATGATCCTGTAAGTATGATTATTATTTTCCAAAGTTTAAATCATGAGTAAAATAATATAAATGAAAATATTCAAGTATTATACTGCCATGTGGTCCCAGGATAGAATATGCTACTCCTTACTTTCCTGTGAGTGTTGTAGGAGGTGACAAAGCCTAACTAAGGTTGCCAGTCCACCTGATAAGCATAGCAACTATTGGCAAAACCCCCCTGCAGGGAGACCTGCAGGTTCAGCAGCGGACAGTTAGTGGCTAATATATTATATAGTATTATATCCACTTACAAACATTGATTTACTTGTATTTAATCAATTTTCATTTTTTAGTATTTTCAGGGTCAGAACTCAATTCCTGTGGATTTTCAACCATTTTCTGAAAACAATGTCAAGGTTCCTACAAAACACATAATATCTATCGAAGATATTACTATAAATAAAGAACTAGGTATGGGCCAGTTTGGTGTGGTCCAGCAAGGAACTTGGACAACAGGAAATCAAAGAGTAAGTATTATGATAGTAATACATTTCTTACTCCAAGAATTTAAATTAAATCATATTTTGCAAGTATTGTAACCCTCACCTATGTTATGTTAAAGTAAATGCAAAAAGTATTCATCCTGAAGCTAACTTAAGTGTGGCGACATTGGATTTATCTAACAATTTTCAAAAACAATGAAACAATCTTCAACATTTCTGATTATTTAAAAGTGCTCTCATAACTGATAAATCATCAATCAGATTTTTTTTAAGTAACAGAATGAAATGAATGAAGGAAATGAATATCTGATGTTGCCACATTTCAGTAAGTATTGATAAGGACACTGATAAGCTTCTAAGGATTACTAAATTGCTCTTAGATTATTCTGTTTTGATATACTTTTTGATTTGTTTTTGGTTGCGTTCTGATATCCACTGGCAGTAAAAAGTACTATACAATTTGTAAATATACCAGCTAACAAGTTGGTAATTTATGTGTGTAGGAAAATGAGTTTTGGCATTCAGTGGTGGGTGGATATAGGTTGTATAATGACGATATTTAATCTAAATAATACTGGCCAGTGGCAAATCTTTATTGGAACAACAAAATTTCACAGTTTAAAATTTGGTATTGTTTGATGTGAGTTTTGTTTAACATCTCTTGCTGTAATTTGTTTGTTAATTTCATTATATTTAATAGTATGCCAATAAATAGTACCATAAAAATATATACAGTTTTGTTAAATAATGCATTCTACTAATATTCTTTATCAAATATTTATATCAACAACATAATCTTTTCATGGAAGTAAGAAACCCTGTTTGCTGTGTCCACACAAAGGTTGTCTGTAATAGCTATGACCTAGATAGATATGTGTACTATGTTGCTACAAACCATGTGGTGACTAATTCACATGCTTAATATCCATAATCTTCTTTCAACAAATTTTATACATGTTATGATGTATGTATGAAAAAATTATTTTTTCATATGTAAAAATTCGGGTTTGAGTTTGTTATACCAATACAGGATTATAGGAAATTATATGAACTGGCTTAGGACTGGGTGGCTTTGTTGATATATCCAAATATTAGTTGTTTGATTTCTCAAAACTAAGGCTATTCTTACTCCCGATCCAGGTAATTAAGATGATTGTGTGAATGTCATATTGTGTGAAAAGTTATATTGTTTTTTATTTTAATTATTAATTTGATGCAAAGCAATTATGAGAAGAAGAAAAAATGTTTAACTTTTGTCACTTTCAAATAATTTTTATTTTGGTCTTATTACAGCTGCAAGTAGCAATAAAATGTTTGGGTCACGAGCGTATGACTTCAAACTCTACGGAGTTCCTCAAGGAAGCTGCTGTTATGCATAGTATAGAACATCCAAATATTGTGCGCTTATATGGTGTTGTTTTACACTTGGATTCCTTGATGCTGGTTTGTTCATGATAATAATTAATATAATATAATATTAAAGTATAAAAATCCTATTCTAATCTTTACTGTTTCAAAAAAATATTTATTTTCGTAGCACAATTGACATTAATAGGCTAGATGCTGGCGCTTCCTTTTAAGTATCAAAAACGTCTGTCCCAGAATGCACTTCTCTTTCGTACTTTGTAACAAAATGTATATTGAAAATATTCTGAAATGAAATACAGAAATTTATTATCAATTATCTATAATTATTATAATTACAAAATAATAAAAAGTGTTATATATGAACATTACTTTTATATTTAGCTTTATTAAAAGCCTAAATACTAAATATTACTTTACGAAATGATTTTCAGGTGACAGAGCTGGCGCCACTGCGTTCTCTGTTGGAATGCCTGCGCGAGGTGTCGCTCCGGCCGAACTTCCCAGTGCCGAATCTGTGCGAGTTCGCTGAACAAATCTGTGATGGCATGACTTATCTAGAAAACAAAAGACTGATTCATAGGTAGTATTTTAGACTGTTCTAATCAAACTGCTTATCGAGAGCGTTATCTTTTTTTATGTATCATACATTGATTGGTAACCCGGACGCCTTATCGGTATACGCTGACGAGGCTCCAGTGAGGGATGATGGTGAGGATGAAAGGTCAGTCAGCCCATCGTGACGAATTCTATAAGAATTAAGTATAATGGTTTCCAGAGGGAAGCACGTAGAGATCACTTGATAGGGTATTGTTAGCAATAGTGCTGTTAGATCCCATTACTAGCCATATGTATAGATCCCATTTATATATTTCTTTATTGAACTTATGTCAAATATATACAGTAAAAGTTAGAAAATAATTTCCGAGTAACCAAATTGTGTAAAAGATAAAATAAAATAACTAAACATAAATACAAAATACATAGAATAGTAATATAATAAATATACACTATAGTTTTAATAACAATTTAAATTGATTAACGTTCTACACAAGTTTTTTTATATGAAACTTAAATTGACAAACAAACTGACAGACAGGTCCCATCTGATGAAAGTAGTAAATTTGTGAAAACCCCCATCTACAGACATGAACTGCACTATGAATGGCCCAAAATACTCTCAAAAAATCAAGCAATAATTAAAAGATTTTACATGTGTATGAAAACGGTCCATTTTTCTTAACGTTGACATTGCTTCTAGTTGTTTTGTACAATGTTTGTTGTCTTATGGAAGAAGATCAAAATATGACTTTACGTACTCGATTCTAAAAAGAATATAATTAAATTTAACGTATTTCTAGAATTTTAAAATTATTATAAATATATAATTTTTGTTTATGCAACTTAGAATGACAAACAAGCTTACGACCCACCTGATGGATAATTACGGCAGAATATAAAATTATAAAACCCAGTACATTTAAAGCCGTAACACCATCTTTACATTGTTACTCGTAACCAATCACATTAGTATCTCACATCTCTTTTATTCATCATACTTATTCTCATTTCTATTCCTTCCACTCATTTGAAATAATGTATACCTACATTAATGTTATTTTACTGTTATTATTCCAGGGACTTAGCAGCAAGAAATATCTTAGTATTTAGCAAGGATAGAGTAAAAATTTCAGACTTCGGATTGTCGCGTGCTTTAGGCGTAGGAAAAGACTACTATCAAACAAATTACAATGTAAATCTCAAGTTACCTGTAGCATGGTACGTATAATGGCATTATTTATATAAAAAATATGTTAAACATAATGACAGAGATGCTTTTAGTATCTGTGATGATTTTTTTTTAACCAATTTAAAAAAAGAAGGAGGTTCTATTTTTACGGATGATAGTGAGTGATTGTGGGACATCAGTGAACTATGATAGGTGAGAATGGAAGCAGATTAGTTACTCCATCGTGACGAATTCATCACAAATTACTTACTAGTGTAGAACGCGTGGAGTTAGGAATGGGGACCGGTAATAATGGGGGTATTATTACCAATTCACCCCCAGGGATGATATGAATGTGTATAATATTTCAAAGGCGTTGCAATATGCCTATGCAATTGTTTTAAAATAATATAAAATGATGCTTTGGTAAGTTAAATTATATAAAAGCGACTATATATATTTCGTAAATAATGATTAGCGAGTTATAATGATAAGATTGGCGACCTCGGTTGTGTAGCATTTCAACATTCGACTGTCGCAGGTTCGACCCCTGTACAATACAAACATTCATATTCTAGAGTAAATTTGACCGGGTATTTTATATGAACATATAAATAAAGGTATGTCTATAGTCTAGTACCTACCCATAGTACAAGTTGTGTTTAAGTGCGTTCATAACTTTACTGAAGTATGGCAACGTAGCATTTATCTGTCAATTTTAGAGAACAATTTGCTCATTTTCAATGTTTCTGATTGATTATTTAAAAAGTGCTCTGATAGCGAACTAAAATGTTAATCATCATAAAAGTAAGTCATCAGTAATATAAATATTAAGCAGTCGCTAAGATTTTAGATTTATATGGCAAAATTTTTAATAATTCCAAAGCTAAATATAGTAGTATATGTAAGTGCAAAGTTTTTAACGCTAGATTTGTATACAACATATTCTATGAAAGACGTTTTAGTTCACTAACAGATTACTTTTTAATTAATTAATGAGAACAAGTGGAAATTACATATTAGTTATTGAAAATTGACAGAAAATTGCGACGTTGCCAAATTTCATCAAGCTAAAATTATGAACGTTCTTAATTTGGGACTAAACTATGCTGTATTATGTCTAGTGCTATTTATTTTTTATTAATAGTTTTATTGTTGTTGTCTGCATTCAGGTGCGCACCGGAGTGTATTTTGTACTTACGGTTTACATCATCGAGCGATGTATGGGCATTCGGCGTTTGTCTGTGGGAGATGTTCACATACGGGTTTCAGCCGTGGGCGGCTTTCTCTGGGCAGCAGATTCTTGAAGCTATCGATGCCCCTAATTTTCAGGTTAGTAAAATTTTTAATGTAACTGCTTGAATTGCAAACAAGTGACAGCCTACCTAATGGAAAGTGGTAACCGTCGTGTATAGATATGAACAATATCATGTATATAACAGAGTGTATAGTGTCGCCCATGGTACCACTTATGTGTTACCATTCCTGAGAAGTCGTTATGCCTTTGAATAACTACAATTATACGCGGAAGAAGCGGTTATGCCGAACCCACCTTAGAATTATCTGGTGCGTGCCTCAGGACCAGTACGAAGCTTCGTCAAGACATGTTTGAAAGTGCATATGCACCTTTTATATAGGCCCTCCCTCCCCCTGAAAAATAATCTTAAATACGGTAATGAGTCTATCAGGTGGAAAGTAGTATCTGTCACCTATATACACGAACAGCGCCATGAAAGTAATAGAATACATCGACGCGCATAGTACCCTTCATTCGTGCTATAGTTTTATGCATGCAGGTGGTTCAGGATCGTTCCTTAAGATGTCTTTGGGGGAGGCCTGTGTTTAGCAGTGGATAGGTAACGACTGATATGATGAATGATGTGTGGAGACTAAGTTTTATTTACATTCTGTATATATGGCTGTATGCCTTAATATTGTCAGTATGTTAATATAGTTAGATTTGTAACTCAAGCGAAGAATAATAATTAAAAAATAAAGAAACGGAAAAGTTTTGTCTCTAAAACGTTAAAGGAGAAAATAGTACACTACAGTCCTTTGCACTGTTTCATACTTACGTCTTGTATTATACTCCTATATATAATATAGTAGTAGAAAGATTATACCAAGTTTTATGCAGTTGCAGTAAGTACATGGTTTGTTTTTAAGAAGTTTTGGGTGAATATAATTATCACAATCTTTTGTTCTTATGTTATACAGAGATTGGAAAGGCCGGAGTGTTGTCCAGAAGCATATTATGCAACAATGCTCGAATGCTGGTTGGACGATCCTAACGATCGGCCGAAATTCAAGGATCTAGGCCCCAAATTACAGGCCATACGACCAGAGCAGGTGAATATAAAAATTCATAATATAATAACAATATATATAATAAACGCATAAATTGCGTGTTTTACAAACTAATAAAGTCTGTTGTTATATAGTAAGATGAAATATTACATCTACCAGTAATTAATAAAAAATATTTTGATAAATTATTAAGAATCTGAGACATAATAACCAATTTCAATTACCGAGATATATCAAAACAGTCGCCTAGCGACTTTTGCCGGTATTTTTGTGCGTTATTTTATGTTTTGATATATGTACGCCAATTCTTCACTGAATTTTATTAATATGATTCAATGTATATATAGAAGATATTTATTTGCTAAACAGGTGCAGACTAATGTTAACTTCCAAAAACCAGAGGATGGGAGACGCAATAATCTTCTAGAATATAAGTCAGGTCAAATCATCACAGTACTTGGTAAAGAGTAAGTGTTTTTTTTTCTGACATGTGGAAGTTTTTGAACAATCACTTGGTCTATGGGAGAAATCAAGATTCTTTGGAATTAGTGTTTGCAAGATGCATGTAGGGATCTCTAATCGGTTCACTTTACCCATCACGTAAGTGGTAGAGCTTGGCGTGTGTCCGAATTTTGCGCCTAAACCATAGTATCTACCATAGCGTGTTAACACCATTATCTCAAGCATGCTAGTCTTGATCATAGACGTATTTAAGAAGGAGACAGTGAGTTGTGCCTATCCTAAAATTATCCCATGCGTGAAGCTTCATAAAAAATTACATAGAGTACATATACGACTCTTTCACGGGGCCAGGTCATAATATTGATTCTACCATGTTTAAGTTGAATATCCTAAAAGTATATTATTGATTGTTATAGAAGCATGACTAAAACGTCAATGTGGTACGGAGTTCTACCAGGCGGAGCATGCGGCATGTTCGATCCGAGTCACACGAAACCATACATAAAACCTGAGGTAACATTTCATTTTAAGAACGTTTGCATTGTCACTTACTATGTTACTAATGGTTTGACAAATTTTTAACAACTCTGTTCTGGGTTTTGGGTTCACTCTGGGGGCATTGCTTCGTTTGTAAGCTGTATCGTGTTGGTTGTTTTATGGAGACAATACCTGGCATCAGAGAAGGGGCGATTTTGAAGTGGGGTGAAATGTTAATTCAAAACTTAACAGAATGTTATTTGAAATATATATAGTGGGGATCACGACTCTTTGCAAGATTGCATTTTCTAAATGTTCTGAAAAGTTCCATTCTATTTTCAAAAGGTGTTCTTTATTTCATGCAGATTTTTTATAAATAATAAATTATTCCGAGTATATTACAATGACCGAGAGAACTCAATGTTTTTTTTAATCATTTAGGAATTATAATAAAGTTAGTGAACTTTAAAGAACCATTTATATTTAACATTTCAAAATGGCCCCATTTCTATAATTAAATATATTTTTATTGAAATTATTTGGTAATTAAATTTTTAATATTTATTTTACTAACGTGGTTACTCTTTTTATTTTAATGTCAACCTTTTTGGCGCCTTTTTTAATTTATATTTTAACAAAATTATTGTAACATTTATATTTTATTTCAAGAGATTAACACTTGTTTATCTCGGCTGAGACGAACATATAGATAAAGACAATAACGTACGATTCGGTGTTTCTTTCTGAAGTCAGGATTTCTAATACTGCACTTCGTAAAAACTGGATGGTGATTACTAACGATGTAATAAATATATGTTCCACATTTTAATATCCAAGTTATAAAAGAGAAAAGATTCGTTTACAAATATTAATTCATTCGATAGATATATTTCTATATCTGTCTTTGCATTTCATTTCTAATTCATTTTATATGTTGTCTCGACAGAGAAATATAAATTCAAAATCATTACTTTCATAAAAATCATGACATCTTGCTTCCATCACCATTTTTCAATCAGAAACTATCAGTGGCGGGCTCTCTATCACCGCATCCGATCCGCAACTTGGCGCGGTCATCTATTCGCTCATCGTTGCTGAGGTCTGACGTGAAGAGACATACATACAATAGCAAGAGGAGTATACAGCGGAGTATGATATCCAGCCCTCAAGGGGACGTGAAACACACTGGACACGTAGGCTTGGACGGGGCTTATTTCGGTGACATATCGTTCTTGGACCCGGCGGGATGTGTGAGTAGTGGTTTGCCTTATTTTCATTTCGTCTTTTCTTCCATAATCATATTCGAGAAACGTTTATATTAAGAATTTTTGTTGAGGCATATTATACTATCAAACTTCAACTTAATCTATCTTTGAAACTAAAATTTTAACTTTATTTTTTAAGAAGTCTTATGTTACAAATCATCAAGAACTAAACTTAAAGCAGTTTCAACTTATATTATAAATTCAGATAATGCCAGATGGAGGATGGACTTTCAGATTCTATCCACTACCCAATGTGTCACCACTACTTTTCAAGTCCAAAGTTTTGTAAAAAACGATCATGAAAATAAAGCACAATACTGTAATAGTGCAAGTAAAGGAAAACTAAAAATATTTTTTAATTTCATAAGAACTTTTTTTTTTTTGTTTATATATAGAACTACTGATATGTACAGTGTCTACCATGAAACCTAATTCCGGAGTTTCGGACCCGAATTTTGTGCGTATTATGAAACACATTCAGATCGAAATAACGAAAATAATAACGGACGATGTCGGGTTCGATCCCCGCACAATAGAGTTTGATTGTTTTCTTTGTATATGTATGCATGTATATAAAAACGGTCTATTAGATACCCTTATCTTATAATCTAGTACCATTGATGCTTCTGCTTAATTTGAGTCTAAATGGCGCTGTGTATATAGTCTAGAGCTGTTTATTATTATTATTAAATAGGGCTCGTAGACGGACATTAATGTTTGTTAAAAACTCTTGCATAAAGTGGAACCATCGAGTTTGCGTCATTTGGATACCTTCGTTATTTTAACGTAAAATTTTTGTTTCATTCGGCTCCGAAATTTCGGGAAAATTTTCATGGTAAGTAGACTAGTCAGAAGATGTAGTCTATGTTTTCTATATATTCTATGTATTTGATAGTGTAATATGTGCTTATTATATTTATTATTGTTAATACGATGGATTTCTGCATATTTATACAGCATGGAATTCTTCAATAACTGTGTGAAATAGTTTCCTCAGGGCTGCTTTACATTGCCACACACATAACACTCATATCATCGCAGACATACGATAACAATTCATTATCATACAGGATTATGGCACACATGATTGCCATCTTTGTGGTGAAAATTATATGTGGTGATGATTCAATTTAACTTTATATTAATATTGATATAGTGACATTTTTTTATTATTTTAAAATAATAAATGTTTTTTCCAATTCCTCACAACGTTTAAATATAATATACATATATTCCATATGGCACTACGATAAAATGATTTTGTAATCACACCGGTTCTATGAAGTATCTGAAATATGTGATAGCTACTCAGAGACGCCTACTATACTCAGAACTAACCCGTTACGATCAGATCATAAGCTTTCCGAGGAAGCAGCCAAGATTCTCAGAAATCTGTGTATGCATGAGGCTGTTTATGAAAGCGGAAGAGGCAAAAGATGTATGTAACGATTGCTTATCTCTACAAAAGGGTCTGCCACATGTCTAATGTGACATGTGTTATTAATCTATCGATATATCATTTGGTTACGCGTGCATGGGATAGAAAGAGATAGCATCGTTGAATTTCTTTCTAATGTATACGCTAAAGAAAATTTCTACCGATATATGCGTTTGTACCTTATCTGAGGGGTTGACGTGAGACATTTCAAATACTTAACATACACTTACACGTTTATTAATCTCACATAAAAACTAAGGATGGGTAATATATAGCAATATCTATATATTGGCTAAATAAAAGATATGTTAAATGTTGATTGTTCATATATATATATATAATATTGAAATGAAGCACCCGATTGAAACGAATGGAGGTACGCAATACTGAAATGTGTAATGTCCAGAGGAACCCCTAATATAAAGATATCGGAGTGGAACCGATATTACCCATGCCAAACAGTAACTATTTACACACATCAAATAAAAAAATTTTTGCAACCAATTGTTCCCGTTCCTTTTATCTATTACTCAAATTTAACTTTAGTTATAAAATGAATATGAAACCGCTACTTAAAGTATAGGCTTGTCCTAGGTTAGGTGGGAATTTGTACTGATTTATAGCTTATTTGCATCCACTATTTGTAACTAGAATGCTTTGTATAAACAATAAAAAAATATTATAATTATTTTAGATAAGTAATTTGCAAAAAAGTTTAAAGGAATTTTAATTTAAATATATTTTTCATTTTTTATATTAATTTTAAATAAAATTTCTGTTGAATCAAATATTTGTATATCTTATAATATTTTATAATGCAATCACAATGAATTGCAATACAAATGATAAATTTATTTTATTTCCTACAGCCGCCTCGTCAAATCGTCACCCCATACAAGCCGTCCGAAGATCTGGAGCAAGTGCCACTAATCAATCCCAATTCACCGTCTCACCTCTCCGGCGCGTCTTGTACTCCACCTTATCCTTTGTTGAGCCCGAATAGATCTGATCAAAAGACTGAATGCGATGAAGTCGATTTAACAAGTGAGTAACGTCTGAGCTATGGAATCCCTATGTTACAAATTTGAACGTATTCTCTTTTTAAATATATGCCTTTTTTAATTTTATATCAGCGTATTGTCTATTTACAGTGGAATCGAAAACGAGAAGTCTGAAAAGAACAAGTTACAAAACAGTATCCGAACCCACAACTAGCAAAAGCATATTAAATAAGGTTCGTGATCATTCATTTGTACTCTAATTATCATTAAATTAATCTGTTATAGTTTTACAGAGCGCTGGTCGCTTTTAATGACTGGGAAGTGATCAGAGTCTATTATTTTTGGCAAAACGAGGAACTGTGCGTTGATATTCTTGTACGTCAGAATATTAAATTTAATGTTGATTGTCTCCATGTACGTATATATATATATATATATATATATATATATATATATATATATATATATATATATATATATATATATATATATACAGGTAATACAATATTGAAATAAAACTTTACTTTATTATTAATAATATTATGTACTCGAATAATAAATTTGCAATTGGACTATATCTATACATGCATCTGCACATAATTAAAAAACTGTTGCATGGTGTTTTGATAGGAGCAATAGAAGCCAAAACAATGTTGTCTGTTTTTTTGTATGTTTGTTCGGTATCACGCAAAAAACTGCAGTTTTTGAAGAATTACCTTAAGACTATCGATTGTTTTATTTTGATATGTAAATGCGGGCGAAGTAGCGGTCAAAAAGCTATAATATAAAGTTATACATGATATCAAAATAAAATTTAATTTATTTTACAGGTAAAAAGTGCAACATTAGGTCGAACACACAAAACAGACGACGCCGCCGCAAAAACTGATGAGGTTCATGAATATCATGAAATATCAGACACAGATACGGTAAGTTATTTTCACTATTACTTTTATTAAAAAAAGTTGATGCTTTATGGTCTATTTCCAAGGCGCAGTGGTGGATATATTGCTTTATGTAAACAAGGAACGGTTTCGATTCTCGTTCGAATGAAATTAGGAATAGAATTTGTCTAAATCGTTTCGGATCTGGGTGTTCTGGCTTGTGTTCCCAGACATTCGTTGTCGAGTATCTGGTAATACAAGATTCTTAGCGAACAATTAACTTCGTCGTGCGATAATTGTTTTTTTTTTTCATATATTTCGTTTATTTTGCGCCAGGTAACTGCACTTCGTTATAAAGGAAAGGAGTTACCTTTGTACTCTAGTACTTTATTGTATAGGTAATTCTATATTTATTTATTTTGATTGACTTTATTATAAAATTATGCCTTTTCCCTTTGCATTAAAAACCACGAAAAGACATTTTCTCTTCAGATATACTCCTTTTGTTTTCTTTACATCCGATCTAACAGATTCATGTTCTTAATTGATAAGAAAGATATTTATGAATGCTTTAATAGCGTATAGAAACGGTATAACACGATTTTACCATTACGATATAATAAGCTTGAAAAATGTAATACTTATATAGAAGTTATTAATTTTCCACGATAATATTAATGACATACACGACTTGTTATATATATATATATATATATATATATATATATATATATATATATATATATATATATATATATATATATATATATATATATATATATATATATATATATATTTATACATTTTTACAATATTATTAGCTTTTACTCACGACTTCGTCCGCGTGACCCCGATATGTACGGGATCAAAAGTAGTCTGTTTCTTTCCGTAAACATATTCCGTATATATATATTTATACATTTTACAATATTATTAGCTTTTACCCACGACTTCGTCCGCGTGACCCCGATATGTACGGGATCAAAAGTAGTCTGTTTCTTTCCGTAAACCAAATTTTATAGCGATTAGTTAAGCCATTAAGGTGCTGAGGTGTACAATGATAGACAAACTTACTTTCACATTTATAATTATGAGAAAGGATACATTATTATACATTTTGCTCTCCTATTATGTAGTGACGGTAAAATCGTACAATATCGTAGTACCATATAAGTGTCACAGCAATTATAAAAATCTCCACTGCCATTGATTTTTAAAGTAATTCCTATTAATATCAATTTATGCCAGTGTGTGTGTGTGTGTGTGTGTGTGTCTAATGTCACTTAGAAACTCGATAGAATATCTGCTATTGTTGTAGATATGGAGTTGATATATCTTGAGGTGACCCAGAAGCATATTAAACCCTAATATGTACACTTTCCATTGCCATAAATTTTTTTTTAAGATGTTTTATTTTTTAACCAGAATTTTGGCTCAAAATAAAAAAATGTAATTTTGAGTATCAATAATAATAACCATTAAGTGTCTATTTTGTATGAGAAATGCAATAATGGTCATGTTATCCTATATTTATATTATTATGTACGGAACCCTCACTGTGTGAGTTCAATTCGCACTTGACTAGTTTTTTTTCAATAATATACAAGGCAATATTATTACATTATTCATTAATTACTATTACAATAGTTTATAACTTTTCTTGACAGGAAAGTACAGCGGCAGATACTGCTAGATTAGAAAATTTGGCACTTCCAGATAGTCCTGGTATTCCTGTAAGTATCTTTCATATTTATTTATGCAACTACTTATAACAAACAAGCTGACGGCCCGTTTGATAAAAATTGACAGCCGTCACTTATAGGTATAGACTGGCACAATGCACATCACATAACCCATAACAACATTTCTGTGGACTAAGGCATTGTTTGATATCCTGCAGTGTTACTACCATATTCTACCCTTCAAACAGAAACTCTGCGATGCAGTCACAGGTGTTTTACGGTAGAATCACGAATAAAATAAAAGTACTCTTGCAGATATTTTTTTTTTTAAAAAGTATCACTCAACTCTCAACTGTGTTGTGTAATTTTGTACCTGGATTACCATATAAAATGAGAAGAGACATAACTATAATCTTGAGATTCTATATAGCCTATATATACTTGTTAATATAATTAAAAATTCTATTTAAATTTTTAAAATGACTAGTACTTTTATTATTATTTAACGTGTTGCTTTGAACAATTCTTTTTTCTATAAGTATAGCCTAAAGTTACTAAAAGCTATGTTATCTTTAAGTATCTGTTCTTTACGGTATTGAGTGAATGAATGAATGAAAGAATGAATGGATATATATTTTCAGGAAACGTGGTAAGTATATAGATGTTAACAATAGGTATAAGTCCATATATCTCGTAATAAATAGGCATGTAATATTAAACAAAAACATAATAGGTTTAAATATTGATTGAATTAGGTGTTAACCCTTCTTTGCATAATGGTGTAAATTTCAATCGTAACATTGAATGCTCAAAAATTATATAAAAGAACAAGTTCACTTTAAGTTGATCGTGTCTGGATACCTTTTTAATGTCCGATGCAGAAAAGAAAACATAGCTGTTAAATTTATTTTTTTAACCATTTTTCCTTTAATATTAATCATGAATTATATCACATTGATTTATTTCACCAATAAAAAAAACATACAAAGAAGGGTTAAAATAGCAAAAACAAAAATTGTTCTTTTGTACAGTTACGTAAGTTGTTGATGTATAAAAGAAAAAGAAGCACTCACCAATTTCTTCCCTTGGGAACTCTTGTGTTATGACACAAACGTAATGATGTATGAGGCTGTAATGGAATGATTTTGAATTGTACTTTTAATTAGTTCTTGTTATTTCAATACTCTGATATTAATTGGCTTAATAACTTTCATTCCATTTCAGTGCTGGGTCTCGAATGCCCAATTTTTACCCCTTACTCCTATCTAAAATATCACAGTGACAGAATTATTATCATCGATATTTTGGGTAATATTATTAAACAAATACTTAATAGAAAGCAGCCAGAGTACTCGATTTAATTTTTGAAAACCATTTTATTTTTCCTTTATTATCTCGAATTACATGAAATAAAATTGTTTAACGACTTTGTATCGCTATCTCAAATGTTTTTAAAGTATTTGATGGTAATGTTATCGGTCTATAATAATTTCTTTCATGTGGGTATTCTCTTTTAAGTAAGGGTTTTACGATTCTAGTATCTAGTATATCAGGAAAAATATCTTGATTAAATAAGTGATTGATAATGTGTGACAAAGTCTGAGCAAATTCTTTATAGGAGCATCTTCACAATGTCATAAAAATAAAGAAAATGAAGATGACAACAAGTCAGTTAGCCTATCGTGACGAATTCATAAATTAACCACGACAGTTTGTAGGGATAACCGCATAGAAGTCGACCTGATATATTGCTAGCCATGGTGATTTTGGACTCCAAGCAGCAGCTTCCCTCTTAAACAATTTTTTTATGTAGTTTATACTACCATAACAAACGTAGAATGAAAACGTTGCTGCAAATTCGAATTATGCAACAGAGGCTGTTGCATTAGCGCCCGGTATCACATTTTTGTTTGGTACAGCGTATGATGCATAAACACTCTAGAGATTAAAACATCACCAAAGCCTAACCTGGCGATTACCAATCCCCCTGTTAAGCGTAGCAACTACTGGCAAAACTGCTCTTTAATGGGGAGGCCTATATTCAGCAATGGACAGTTAATGGCTGATGTGATGATTTGTAGGTTTACTTTGTATTGAGTGACGTAACGAAATACCTCATCTTTTTACTTGTTTCTCGAAAAAAGTGATAGTAAAATAAAAGTCTTTCATTTTTATATTACATTCGTTACCATTTCTAACGAAAGATTTAAATAGGACAACTGACATTTTCTTCTTTAAAAAATTGTCTATGCTTAATTCTAGAAAAATCTTATTAGAAAAAAAAAACAAAAACCTGCAATTATTTGATGAAAAAAATGGAACATGCGTGAATTTTGATTTACGTTATTTTAAAAAGTAGGTAGTTCGATGGATGTCACTAATAGTTTGGCTAACGCCACCTACGCCAGTTTAAGTTGTTACTTTTATAAAAGTAGTTGGGAATATTGCTATTCTTTTATAGTGCTTTTATAGCCATTTGTTGTTGAATTTTCTAAGGTATTTTTATTACAATGAGTGCAAAATCAGTAGGTAATGAGTTTTATATTATAATCGTTATAATCGAATAAAAATTGGGAAAATGATATTTATTGGTTAGGTAGTTTTGTGACACGTTGCAGAAATTACACATTTATATATTTGTAAGTATTTTTAACATATTATTTAGTTTAAATTCGTTTAAATATCCATTTTGGTTGATATCTAACGGTATATTTTTATTTATTTATTTTAATTATATGCTTTTGTACATTTACCTAATTTGTACATTCAGTATAATGTTCATATTTTATAGTTTAGAGAGTGAAGAACGTCAATTTATTTGTTCTTAGTGGGATCGGTTTCATCCACGGGAAAGGAATTTATACCTGATGCCGTGCAAAGCGACTAAGGGAATTTAACGGAGGGGGGATAGATAGCAGCTTACTTCCTACAACCTCTTAAAACGTCACCAAGGCCTAACTGAAGCTGTAAACCCGTCTGCCAAGCGTGGTAGTTACTGAAAAAACCCCCCAATAGCAGGAGGCCTATGTCCAACAGTGGGCGTTTAACGACTAATATGGTATGGTATATAGTATATCAGCCGTTAACTGTCCACTAGTAAATACAGGCCTCCCCTATAAGGGAGGTTTGCTAGTAAGTACCACGCTTGGCAGGTGGGTTGGCAACTACAGTTAGTTGCTTTAAGTTGTTTTAAGAGGGACGCTGCTGTCCATTCCTCGACCATTAAGTCATACCTCCACATATAAAATTACATAATTCATTCAAGAATCTGTTACAGAGTGAGTAACAGTATCTTGCGTTTCTGCTGTCAAACAATGTGGCTGAGGTTATGGAGAAAAGGGATTGTTAGTAATGGAGACTGAGAATCCCATTGCTAGCAATATGCCAGGTCGACCTCCTCGCGGTTCCCCTTGGAAACTATCATGGTTAATTCCTGATGAATTCATCATGATGGGCTAACTGGACTGTTTTCATTCTCATCTATCACCCTTCATTGGTGCTCCGCCAGCGTATCCCGTTAGCGCAGGCGGGGTTCCCATAACATTTTCACCCATAAAAAAAAATGTGGCTGAGGTTATAGAAGTTTGAAGGGTGGGATATGGCAGGAATAGTGACGTATGATAGGCATTATGGGCATTAAGTCTATTAGCTCTATACCGCGGCGTTGCCCGCAAGATTTAGTATATAAAATGTCACATGTGTTAAATAATAACCTACCCGTGTACCAAATTTAATTCAAATTCATTCAAGTAGTAATATCATGAAAGACTAACATACGTTCATATATCCATTAATCATTTATCCTAATAAAATGTTAACATTTATAATATTAATAATTATGATTGTGTGACCTCTATAGTGTTGTGTGTAGTGTTTATTTGTCATTTTAACATACCCTATAACAGTAATCGGTTTATATGATTAACAAAATTATTGTATTGCAGAAGAGCTACGGGGACTTTAGTCAGAGTTTGCTTGATGAAATGGAGTCCATGTTTCGCAGTCTCGATGGCAGACGCCGGGATGAATCTGTAAGTATTTTATTGTTTTCTTTTTCTTTATTTTATTGAAGTTATTGTTAAATTATAAATAGATATAATCTCGATAACTGGATGATTTTTATAACACAATAAACATATTAATACAACAATGTATATGACAATTACATTATGCGATTGTTTTTTTTTCAAACATTTTCAATACCTAAAAACATAGTGTGTGCGAATAACAACCACAATTTTGCATTTCATGCACTATCTTCCCCGCGCCGGTAACTTGACACTTGGTTGATAAATACCGCTTGGCTTACTGGCTAAGGTTCCATAATTTTATTCAAACTTTGCAGATATTGTACTTGTTGATTTATGAGGCAATGAACTTATAATAAATTAAGATTGTATTTGAAAAAGCCAACTTCAAACAAATTATTTTGATTTAAAAAATAAACTAGACACTGAACGGATTTTGATAAAAATTCTATGGGATCAATATATAATTTTTTTTTCAAAACTATTTATAACTGACCCAGTTTATGAAGTAATAATGAATACAAATTATATGAATACAATTGAATTGAGGACCTCCTCTTTTTTGAAGTCAGTTGTATTATATAAATATTAACTGTAACTTTTTTGACAAGCTATAAATTAGCAGTAAAATATATTTTATGTCCAATTTGAAATATAGTGTGTAATAACTATGTAATAACCATACAGACTTATATCAAGATTAAGTTTACCAGTTTTATACAAGTCGTCTGCTTGGGTACCTTTGTCCCATATGTGTTTCTGTCGTATATGACGTTCCATAGTGTGTGCCTGGCTGTGTTTCGGTTTGAAGGGTGGGATATGATAATGAAATTACAGGGTACAGAAGCATAATATCTTAGTTCTCAGGAATGGCAAATCATGAAGGGTATCATAGGTGACACGGTATACTCTTTTATATCCATGGTGCTGTTCATGTTTATAGGCGACAATTACCACTTCCCATCAGTTGAGTGGTCAGCTGGTTTGCGATTATAAGTAACATAAAAATTACATGCGAAATAACGACTTTATTCTTTTATCTTACGGTAATGAAGTTTGTGTTATATTAAATATAAAATTTGGTGGTGAAACATTTGTAATTAATCGTATGTATTTCTATTTTATGATAACAGTTTTTATTAATTTCTAATTAAGGATAAGGTTGGATTTGACAAAAATTGGACATCGTAATATATTTTAAAGATATTAATAAAGTAAAATTTTCCTTCTTTTCTAACTTGCAGAGGTCTATTGAAGAGTTGAAATTGCTAGGAATAAAATCGTCCCATACTCGCTTTGCATATATTTAAACTTTATTAAATCGATTTATAGTATAAATACTTCTGATGGCATAACAAAAATGATTTCAAATTCATGCGTTTAATTCAGGTGCTATGCATTTGGACAATCTGGTAAGAAGTAGGACACGTAGATTAGTGGTATTAGTTTTATATTTCAACTTAAAATAGTAACGCAGTTCGTTCATTCTTAGTAGTAGTTTGTATAAATTATAACGGTCCTCTTTCATTCAAATATATATATATATATATATATATATATATATATATATATATATATATATATATATATATATATATATATATATATATATATATATATATGTATGTATGTATATATGTATATATTATAATATCATCATCATTCTATTGTCCGTTATCTATCCACTGCTGAACTCTATGAGGGAGGCCTATGCCTCCCTCATAGAATAGGCATAGGAACGATCCTGAGCCACCCGCAACCACTGGCTTCCTGTAGTACATTAAAAATCGTCACGTCATCTAGTGGGGGAGTCGTCCTGCGTTTGCCCGTACGGGGTCGCCACTCACGAACCTTTCTTCACTAGTTTAGTCGCATTATCATTTAGTTATTTTTATTTGATACAGTAACAACAATCTTTGCATAATTAGCTTTATAGTTGGAGAATATGCATAGAAGTCATAAAAAAGTCATTCGTAATAGAATAATAATAACATAATATTTTTTTTATTAATTGGAATCCCTTTCAAATTTTTAGTAGTCTTGTAGATTGTAGACATGTAGATTTTCTTGGTAGTCATTTTATATAAGATATTATTTTGAAGTCAATAGTTTCGTTCGTTCGTTAGTTAGATTCAATAGAAAACATTTTTCATAGAAAAAATATTTGTAATAAAAGCCAAGATTTCTTTAGAGTAGATGATCTATAATTATATTAATTACTAACGTAATCTCGCGACTTCGCCTGCGTGAATCTGTACATAAAATATCCTATATATTAAGTTAGAATATAACCTACCGGTGTACCAAATTTTATTTAAATCCATTCAGTACTATTTGCGTGAAAGAGTAATAAATATTATTTATCTATACTCTTTACTAACTACATGGCTACTAATGATTTATCATATTATTTTTACATCATACATGTTATGTTTCATATACAAGTCCCATAGATACTTTATCTTTTCAAGTTCTAAGGTTGACTGCAAGAAATCCCTTCAAGGGATAAGTCCGCCTTTGTACATTTTTTTTTATAACCTAATGTCTATATTAAAAGTGAATGTACAAAAGTATATAAGTAAATAAATAAACATCCATCCATCGTTACAAACTTTCTCATTTATTATATTAATGCATTTACTGGGTACAGAGGAATAACACCTGAGTCCTCAGGAATGGCAACGCAGGGGGGGTATCATGGGCGAAACAGTATATACTCTGTTATGTCCACGTTACTGCTCATGTCTATAGGCGACGGTTACCACTTTTCATCAGGTGGGCCGTTAGCTTGTTTGCCATTCTAAGTTGTATTAAAAAAAAAACTAATTATTATAAAATTTTATTAATTTGATTACCTCACAATATAGTTGTTAGGTATGAGCAATATTTGTACCGCTCAAATCCTGTGAGTTTGTTACCTTATAGCGCATTAATGGCTTATCTAATTACTATGAAATTTGATATACACGTATGAGAGTGCATGTATACCAAATTCTTCATTCCCGTCGCGGGTAAAAGTTAGTATCTATATAAATAATAATATTTTTTTAATTTAAATATAAGCATTTTTGAACAATCATTTTTATGTATTTATTTAAAGTATATTTGGAATTGTATATATTGGCGGTGGAAAAAAGGATATCACCCATTACGACATGCTACTATTATAATAAATGCTAAAGTTTGTAATAATGTATGGATGAATGTTTGTTACTCTTATACACAAATACTACTGGACGGATTTGAATGAATTAAGGTATAGGTACCGGTAGGTTTTATATAACTTAACACATACAGTACTTTTTTTAATAGGTGATAATGGAATGGTAACCCCGCCTAAGCTAACGGTATACGCTGGTGGGGTACCAGTAAGGGATGATTAATGAGGATGAAAAGGTAGATCAGTTAGCCCATCGTGATGAATTAACCTAAAATTAAATGGGTTCTAGGGAGGACCGCGATAAGGTCGTCCTGACACTGTATTGCTAACAATGAGGAAGCTAAACCCCTTTACTAATATATTCTTCCTCGCCACATAGGGTACTTATATACTGATTCACGCTGGCGAAGTCGTTGGATACAGCTAGTCGTCTATATCAAGCCGATATCTACAATATATTCATGTCGATCGAGTGCTTCTTTTCGATATAATGTATTGTATAAATAATTATCCACTTCTTCGATTCCAGGTACTAAATATATTTTGAAATATCTCTTACGTAAAATGTTAATTTTAAACATTTAATGAACTGGTTTTATTTATTTATTTATAAAAGATACACCAACAATATGCTCACAACAATTAAGCAGACAATGTACAATGTTATAAGTAAGTAAAAGTGAAAAACTACTATTCAAAAATGCTTAAATCTAGGTTTACTTGAACAAAAACATCTCACTCCTCACTACCAAGCTTAAAGACATATGAAGAGATCAATTAAAGGTGTATACAGCTCTCACAGATAAGCGTCAATGTATATATACTATGGATTATTGATAGTGAATGAAGGAAGACGTTCGGCAATAGATCGGGTTCTCTCTGCTCGTCTTTTACGGGACTTTTCATGAAGATATCGTCATAGTCGTAGAATACTGACGGATCTATATATGTAATATTTGTCAGATCCGTCAGTATTCTACGACTCTGACGATATTGATTAATAAATTGAATAATTGGTTGCCACTAGGTCTGTACTACACATTATTGTAGTTCCAAAACGGATCCTAAAACAATTCATATTTTCTATTTACCAGATTTACAGCTAGCTATAACAATGTACAAAATTTCATGTTTAGTTTTATGTGCTAATTTAGCACCGGCTTTCTTCCAAGAACTATGCAGTTTGATATATCAATAGCCTATGCATTTTACGAACTCGTATAGTAAACATGGTTACATAAATATGCAAATATTAATCGTTTCAGGAACCTAATGTGAATTATCAGAGTTCATTTTAGATTAGCACAATGTTACAATTCTTGTTAAGGAGCTTAGACTTCGTAAAGTAGCGTCCAGACACGTGCAATATGCTGCAAATAGCGTAGATGCATTCTGCGAGTAGATTTGTTTTCGCATGATAGTGGATCAACTCATAGGGGACATGATAGAATTAAATTATAATTTAAGATTATGTTTCATAAGAAACGATTTAAGCTGTGACAAAACGTTATTTTGATTTAATAACTAATGAACCGATTTTGATAAAACTTCTATGGAACCAATTCCTACATATATCCAGACAAAAATAGTTTTCCAAATGGGTTTATAGCTAACAGAGTAATGCGGTAACAAACGTAAAAAATACAATAGAATTAAGAACGTCCTTTTTGAAGTCGGTTTTAAAAAAGAACAGATTGTAGTATATAGAATAGATAGATTTAAACAAAAAAGAACAGCACAAAAACAATGTCCAAATTGTCCTAGCTTATTTATTAAACTAAACAAAAAATAGAGAAATAATCATCAATACATATAAAAAAACGTAACTGGGACAAGTATCTGT